ATTTCTCATCGAAATCCCATCTAATCATTTGCCACAATCATTTTCCCCAAGCTAAGGTTGGAATTGCTGCACCGGGAGTAGCGGAAGTCACAGAAAAAACATAAATATCTTCCCAGAGGATCTACGCGTCTCAAAAGTTAGGGAAAATATTCTTTATAGTAAAATAAACACGCATGCATCGTGGAATAGACTTGCAGTGAAGTTAGCGTTAAAAATAGAAGCCTGCAGCTTCAAAGCAAGGTCATGGCTGGGTTGGGACTTGAGGACCAGGGTCACGCATCCCATCTCTTCGGGCCAGAGGAGGGGGCGGGGAGTTAAATCCACTGGGCAGGCTGAAAAAGACAAAATTACTACGGATGGTGAAGCTCACACAAGTCATTTGCAGGAGGATCACAAGGGGGCGAGTGGAAAACCCTTCCCACATGCCAGCGTCTGCCTCCAGAAGGTCCCCCAAGCGGCCAGGTGTTGAAAGCTTGGTCTTCAGCTGGGTGTTATTGGAAGGTGGCGGCTCCTTTAAGAGGCGGGCTTAGTGGGCGGTCTTAAGTATCCAGGGGGTGTGGCCTGGCAGGAGATGGTTACTTCCCTGCCACCAGAATAGGAGCTGCTCACCTTGCAAACGGGGCACACAGCCTGCCACCTCTGAGAGCTTGGGGCAAAAACCTTTCCTCTTTTGAAGCCGATTACCTCAGGTGTTTTGTAACAGCACCTGAGATGAAAGCTGGTCAGCAGAACCACACCGTATGCACTTGAATCACTTACGGCACAGACGCCTGTCATTTGAAATGTGTTCCCTCCTGCCCTGTGGGCTGCAAAGATCCACTCTTTGCATGGCAGAAACGGTACTCCGGAAGTGGCCGGGACCTGCTACAGAGTTTTCACTATTTCTGCTCCAATGAGGAGGTACTGTTAGCCCAGCCATGGTTTAAGCAGATTGCCATGGTTGCATGTGTTCAGAGTCTAAAGCCCCTACCCACGGGGCATGGCAGGACACACTTGTGAGCCCAGCATTCGGGAGGCTGAGGCAGGAGGATCGCTGCAAGTTCAAGGCCCCTTTGGGCTACACAGTGAGTTCGCGGCCAGCCTGCATTATGTGGAGACCCTGCCTTCCCAACACAGAACAGAAGTGAAAGCTCTTCCATCTGACACTGACACCAAGCCACTTTTCCCCTCACTGTCTCCAAATGACAGCGGATGCACTGTGTTATTCAAACACCCGCCACATGGCAGCACTGCAGGGAGGAAGGCCCAGGCCTGGAATCTGGGTCGCGCTTGACCCTGGGCCTCAGCTGCAGGAGGCACGGCCTCCGACTCTGACCTCAGTGCCCGCCACCGAGACACATCTTGAGGGAATTTTTTGAGACAGACAGGGAAGGGGAAACAGAGGATTTTGGTGTTTTCTGCCCCACAAGAAATTTCTCATGATGTGGTGTGTTGGAGGTGAAGACCCCGGGGTTAATCACTCCTTTCTGGACCCAAGAAAAGCCATGTGCAGAGCGTACCAACACTGGGCCTTGACTCTTCACGGCAACTAGGGGCCACCTGAGGTGACGGTGATGTCACTTCATTCTACGGGCCTCCAGAGTGAGCACCGTGGCCCAATCCAAGCTGATAGGAAACCATCCACAGGGCTGCCTCAGTTTCCCTGCCATGCACAGCACGACGCCTATCTGGTCTCCCTGCTCTAAGCCACTGCAGGACCACAGGGACCCGGGTCCCCGAGAAATGGCTTTATGTGCTTCTGGGGTTCCCCAGGGCAAGCACAGCTGCTCCATATCTGCTAGGGGATCAGGGGAACAAAGACTCACTAACTTCCACTAAAACACTGGCAATAAGGGGCCAGAGATTTGGCTTGGTGGCATAAGCACCTGCCTGGCAAGCACGAGGTCGTGAGTTCCATCCCAGGCACAAACACAAAAACAAAAAGCATAGGCAACAAGAATGGCTGGTGTTTACCCAGCATGGACCGTGGATAAGGGGATTTCCACTCTCTCTCACTCCCTAATCCATAGGGTTACAGAGCCAGCAGCAGGTCCTGTAGCTGCATTCTACACACAGGAAATGAAGGACCAGAGGTTAAGTCGTCTAGTGAAGGTCACCCATCTGGGAAGCTAAATTAGTGCTTGAATATGAACTCATCCCATCTAGGGTTCAAGAGTTTTAATGACTACAGTACAGCAAACCTGTCATCATCCAAGTAGCTAACAATCAGGAAAAAACCTGTCTAACCTAGCCAGGTGGCGTGGCACATGCCTGTGACCCTGGTACCTGGGAGGCTGAGGCAGGAGTGTTGCAGGCAGCTGAGTTAGAAATATAGGCAGTGAGGGGGCTGGCGGTTTAGCTCAGGAGCATAAGCACCTGCCTTGCAAGCAGGCAGTCGTGAGTTCGATCCCCAGTACTGATAAAAATGAAAAAGGCAAAAAAAAAAAAGTGTTTACTTAATATTAAAAAAAAAAAAAAAGAAATATAGGCAGTGAAACAGGGCTGGGCCTCAAAGGAGCCAGCGCAGGAGCCCAGATACCCGGCAACTTCAGGGGAGACAGACAGATACCTCCTGCTGTGGGCCAGGCCTCAAGACAAAAGACCAATAAATGCATCCATATCCTGAGGATGATATTCTAAATATCACCCTGAGGAAGCCAGGAGTCACCATCCAGAGCCCTACGAGTCACTGCTCCCTAAGCATGCCCACTTTCTACGTGACTCGCTTCCCCATTTGTCCCCAAGTTAATCAATTTTACTTGAACTATTAATCTTACTGGCCAACCATAGTTCTGTCCCACTTATGCCCATCTGCCTTGTGAGTTCCCAGTTTTCCCCCATCTAAACCCATCTCACCCCATGATTTTGCTCTATAAAAGTCCCTAGAAAAGACTGCATCCTCGGCAACCCACTCGGGACCCCTTCTGTCTCTCTCATTCAGAAGCTTTCTTCCTCTCAATAAATATATTCTGCGCGTCACCTCCATTGTTCCTAAAATTCATTCTTCGATTTTAGAGAACAGGAACTTTGGGCCTAGTGGGTTGGGAGTCTCATCTTCCTGAGTCAGGAGGATCGACACAAATCCAAGGACAGCTTGGGTGACACAGTGCGTACAAGGCCAGCGCGACCACGTAGTGTGACTCTGTCTCCAAACCAAACAACAAAAGATCTAATCCCTGTGGCAAGAGAAATACATTTACGTTTGTGCATCATCTTTGAGGACTATTAGTGAAAGGTTTCCTTTGACATTTTTTAGTGCCCACCAAAGTGCGGCGGGGGTGGGGGACTGCTGCCTTCCTGGGGTACCGGGTCACCCTGTCTGCACAGTGCTGGTGCCAGGAGCCCCGGGAGTCTTCAGGTCTTTGACGCAGCTATGTGTATGAGTCTGGGAGGGACCTAAGTGTCCCGCAGCGGGAGTCGCGTGAGAAAACATTGTTCTCCTAGCTTTGGGACTCGAGGAAGGACAGGTAGGGCAGGAAGCAAGCAGCCAGCAAGCCGGGGTCTAATGGAAAAGGTGCACCACAAACACTCAGGCTTGGCTCCCCCTAAAAATCCAGAGCAGCAGGCCTGCGTCATCCAGCGGGGTCCGGTCACAGAGAAGCAGGAGCTGGGCCATCGGGCAGCGTCATTCAAACAGCCAGAGGGGGGCTGGGGATTTAGCTCAGCGGCATAAGCGCCTCCCTTGCAAACAGGCAGTTGTGAGTTTGATCCCTGGTACCAATAAAAAGGAAAAAGACAAAAAAAAAAAAAAAAAAAAAAGTCAAACAGCCAGAGGGGCCGGGCAGTGACACGGTGTCCAGTGCGTGCTTGGTGTGTGCCAGGCCCTGCGGAAGCCACACAAGTGTCCACCCACAGATGGACAAGCATACGAGCAAAACCAGGTCCAGGCAATAGCAGGCTCAGCCCTGAACAGGAAACTCCGATGTACCCTGCAGCGTGCTGAAGCCTGAAGGCACCGGACTAATTTCAATCAGCCACGGAGCGGGCGTGGGTGGGGGCATGCCAACTATCTCAGCACTTGGGGGGCTGAGGCAGGAGGTCAGCTAGAGTTCAAGGTCAGCCTGGGCTCTACAGGGAAGTCAAAGCCAGCCGGAATTACGAACTACGCAGTGAGACCCTGTCTCAATTAAAAGAAAACCAGAAAAATCTCCTACATTAAAAAAAAAAATAGATTCAGGCAGTCGTGAAAGGGCTTCCACTACAGAATTCCGCTGCTGTGTGTCAAATTCAAAGACAGAACACAGGTGTGTGCGGGGGGTGTGGGGGACAAGGAATTTGTGTGTTGTGAGTAAAATTTTTCAGTTTTGCAAGAGAGGCAGAAATCTTGGGCTGGATGGTGGGGCCAGTGGACAGCACACGTGCCAGAGGCCGAAGAACTATAACTCAGAAAGGTCACAGCCCAGCCAGGCATGGTGGCACACGCCTGTCATACCAGCCACAGTGGTAACTGCAGCAGGAGGGTCGCAGGTTTGAAGCCAGCCTACAAGTGTCCTGCTCCAGCCTTGGCCTCTGCTACCATGAAGGTTATGCAATTTGTCCATTGTCACCCAGCAAATAAAAGCGGCTAACTGCAAACCAGGCCTGACTCCCGAGAGCACAGTGGCTTGGCTGTGGCACTGGCCCTGGTGACCGCAGCCCGCCCACCCCACCCCACTGCACATGCTGGCCTGGGCCTCCACAGGCCGATCCCCTTCCCTGTTTGTGACTGAGCTCCTCTCCCAGTGTCACCAAGGGAGAGGGCAGCATAGACGAGGGGCCCTCCACAGCTCCTGACCACCTGCCTGCTTTTCCCCCCAACGAGACTGCAAACTGTCACTCACTGGCACCACTTTCGAGCTGCCACACCTCTGGCTCCCGCTGCCCTGGAAAACACCCGCTCCTGGGCACCTGAGTCTCACCCGGGCCGCCAGGCTTCACTTCGGAGCTTGGATGCTCACAGAGGGGTAACTGTGGCAGCCAGAGGGGTAACTTCGGGGGCCCCTGGGACGGAGTGGACGCTGGGGGAGGGAGTGGGGACTCACGTCGTGCCGCCCACGGAAAGCCACAGTGCTGGCTGCAGAAAGAGGAGGGGAGTCAGCCTGGTGTTTCCTTTCCACCTTGAAACTGCCCAGTTTCTGATATGATTGCAGGGGATTTCCGCACTCCATTCGTGACCATTCACTTCAGGGCTTAGTGAACTGCAGGGAGAGGGCTGGAGGTCTGCACTCTTCATTCTCCACGAGGTGCCGTTATTGGCACAGGGTGACTCTCCTTTCCCTGCACACCACATGGGCCGTACGAGGCACCGTGCCGCACAGCTCTCCTCACCCACCCGTCCTGTCACCCCGGCTGGGAAGCACGCTGGTCCCCCAGGGAATGACTGAGGGGTCCTCCCCAGGCTGACAGCTGTGTGAGTCCCAGTGACGGAAGCACTTGCTGGACTCGGCTCCAACATGAGACGGAGAGAAGCAGCTGCCCGGGGAGGGAGGGAACCTCGCTCTGTGCTCTGCCCAGTGGTGAGAAAATAACCCAGCCTGCGGGGAATCGGCCCCAAGTGGGGCATTCACTTCTCCCTTCAACTGTAGTTAAGAAAAACAAGGTGAAGCAGGAACTGAGCCCCACAGCCGGAGGAGGCCACACTGCGCTTCTGCCTGCCGTGTTCTCAGCACAGCCCCGGCCCCTGGGGGACCCCAACCCAGCAAAGCAAGAGAAGGCCTGGCTCCCCGCCCTTCCTCGGCGTGCATGGTGCTGCAGGAGCTGAGCCAAGAAGCTTGGCACGGCCAGGTCTGGCCTTGGGGACCAGCCCTTGGGGTCCTGCCTCAGTTCCAGAAGCAATCAGGGCCTTGATCTGGCCGGTGCCCCGTCCCAGGACACATCGAGCTTGGAGGCCTGGCCCGGGGCCCTCTGGAGCAGGCAATGGGTTTTTAAGCTCGTGCTCTCTCTGCACCCCTGGGCATCACTTGGATACAGTAGCACGCAGAGCCCTCAGCAGCCGGGGCCACCGCAATCCTGGTACCAAGACCCTCGCCCCAGCACTTTCTCCTCTGGAGGAAGCAAAGCTCCTCTCTGTTGCCTTCTGCTTTCAGGAAGCCTCATAAGTGGCGAGGACCTTGGTCCCCACGTATGGCACCTGTCTATCTGGCTTTCACAGGGAAGCACTAGGGGTACCTTCACCCCCAGGCCTCCACCGCCCCACAAGAGAACCGTCAGGACCAGGCCCACAAAGCAAGGTGCAGAGGACCCAGCCTTGGCCAGGGTTGTCCATCAGTTACTTGCAAAGTGCATGAGTCTAATATTCAATTTTTTTTTTGAGATCAGTCTATCTGTGTAGTACACCCTGGCCTTGAATTCACTATGTAGCCCAGATTGGCCTCAGAACTCACAGAGATCCTCCTGCCTCAGCCTCCTGAGTGCTGGGATTACAGGAGTGCCAGTCCACCATGTCTGGCTAACTCTTGAATTAGTTAACCCTCAGTTTCCTGGACTCTAAAATGGAGATATCTCACTAGGCAGCCTCACTGCAAACACATGCAAAAGGGTCCAGTCTTTGGGCGGGGTCCTATGGTACAAAGCCCTAGAGAACACCGGGCCACCCAGGAGGTGTCCAGTGGGCCTCTTCTGAGCATGGCTGTTGCCTTGTGCCCCCTTTGGAGCAGGGGACTGTCCTCTCAGACAGTCCTGGAAGGGGACATCTCCTCCTCTCCCAAGGGGCACCTGCCACACACACTTGCTGCGTCCCGGTGGGACTTTTAGGAAGACCTGTGCAGATGCCCTGCTGGACAGGGCAGTGTGGTGGGGTCCCCAGGCCCGCACCTCCCTCCCCGGGGACACTTGGGCCTCCCCAAGTCCTTCCCGGATCCTTTGATCCCGGGGTCCCCTCCTGGACAGCGCGGCCAGCTGCGCAGAACGCACGCTCCTGAGCCCAGGAAAAACTGCCCAGTTCCCCTGACTCCGCGGAGGAAGCCTAAATAAAAACAGGAAACTAAAATGTTTTTTAAAAGCCTCATTCAGGCCGAATTACGGGTAAGAGTATTTTTTTAAGGGCCGGAAATGTAAAGCTAGGGGCGGTTTCGCTGCTGTAACCCGGGCCAGCACCCGCAGAGCTGGTGGGTGATGTCGCCCTCGCCCGGGCCACGGACCGGGCACAGCGGACGGCCGGGGCGGGAGGGACCCAGAAGGCGGACTTCGGTTCTCCCTGTGCCGATCACCGCGCAGGGGCGGGGTGCAGGGCTCGGGATGGAGCTCGCAGCTCCCCACGGTGCACGCGAGGCCGCCCCGCCACGGGGCGCGCAGCCCGGACCCTGCCGCCCGCCCACAGCCCGGGGACTCCGCCGGTGCGCGCGCCTCCGGGGGGCGCACGCGTGCCCTGGGTGCAGCCCGGGACGGGTTCCCCGACTCCCGGCCCGAGCCGGGTTCCTCCAGCCAACCCGGGTCCCCCAGCCCGGCCCGGGACGCGCGCTGCCCGGCTCGCTGGAGGTGGGAAGAGCTGCCTGAGACCAGGGCGCACACGCTACGCGCGCTGGAGCCGCCCGGGGCGCAGCCGCGACCCCCCGAACCCCCCGCGGCCCCCGCCCGCCCCCCGCGCGGCGCAGGGCGCTTACCCGGCTGGCGCGGCCGCTCGGCGAGGGCGCAGCGCGCGAGTGAGGGACGCGGAGGCGGGGCGCGCAGGGCGGCCGCAGCCACAGCCCGCACGCGCCCTTCCCGCTTCGCTTCCTTTTCTCTCGGAACAGGAAAACAACAGGTCTCGCCCGCGCCTCCCTCTGCCCTCGCGGCTGCGGCGGCGGCGGCCCGGGGGACTCTGGAAGCTGTCCCTTGGCCTGTTCCAAACAAGTTTTCTTTCCATGCAAAGCGAGCCAGCGGATAAGGTCCCTGAGCCGGCACAGCGCCTGAGCAGTGCACCGGGGTGGGGGTGGGGGGCTCGAGGGGTGACCGCAGGCCGGGCGCCCAAGGAGGGTCCAGGCGCCAACGCGGGCAGTCGCGCAAGAGGGAGGTGGAGAGGGGCCCAGGGAGACGCCCGGGGCGCAGAGTCTCTTAAGAAAATAGGATGAGAGCCAGGCGTGATGGCACAGGTCTGTCCTACCAGCACTTGGGAGGCTGAGGCAGGAGGATCCTTGTGAGTTCGAGACCAGCCTGGGCTACATAGCAAGACTGTTGTCTCTAAGTAAATAAATACATGCATAAAAAGGGCTCGGGTCCTTGAGCACGCTCAGCACAAGACCTAAAGCGCTGCTGTTGCCATGGGGGTCTCTATCCCAGGCGAGCGTCCGCCTTTTCCGGCAGGGAGAGAGCTCAGGTGTGGGAAGACTGGGCAGGTGGCTGCAGGGTCCCAGGCTTGGGCTCTCATTGGGGACTTGTGGGGGAGCTAAGGAGAGCGGCAGCAGGTCCTTCTAGGGGAACACTGGGTGAAGCCAAGCACCCTTCTCAGCGGGTCTCCTGGGGCTCCCAGCCTCCCCTACTCCCAGCTCTGCTGCCCGGCCTTGGACAGAGGACTCAGCCCAGCATGGAGATCCTGGCTTTAGAGGCGAAACCTGGTGGCCGGGATCTTTTAGCCCTGCTTTGGGTGGGTTTCAGCTTATTTATTTTTGGGGGGTGGGAGGCTCACTATGCAGTTCAGGCCAGCCTTGAACTCACTACATCGCCCAGGTTGGCTTTGCACTCAAGGTGCTCCTCCAGCCTCAGCGTCCCAAGTGCCAGGATTCCAGGCGTGGGCCACCAACTCCAGCTTCTGGGTTGCAATTCAAACGCTGCACTCTGGTTCTGAGTTCCCTGGGCTGCGGTGGATGGGGGACATTTTGCAGCTGGTCTCTTTCTCACTCTAGACGCTGCCTGAGGAGGGAGGTGTGCCGAGCACCCAGACCCTCACCCGAGTCCTCCTGAGTCCTGCTGCAGCCCAGCCAAGTGACCTGTCATTAAACACCATCACCCCAGTTTCTGGATAGGGCTGAAGCATTCTGGGAGGGATGCAGCTTCTGGCTCCTCTCTCCTTTTACCCCACCACGCCACGTCTTGCCCTCTGAGAAGTTTCACTTTCCTGAGAGCCTGTGGCACTTGCTTTTTGAGCCTCTAATCGAGGACTTACTGTGGCCCTTACTCTTTTTGCTTGGGATGCCAGGAAGCTCAAACAACTTAACATCCAAAGTTGGTCTTCGTTCCTCAAGTTCCTGACAGTGTTGCTCTGCCTTCCCCTCCCTGGTTGCTGATCGTTCTCGGTCTATTTTTAACTGTTGTCATGTGTGTTTTGGAGGAAGCTACCTCAAGTTCCCTTTGAACTGTAAATAAACTGAAGCGGTTCTGGTGGCAGATTTGCAGCCCTGCTGGGAGGGAAGGGCACACATGTGGTCCCTTTCTGAGTGGAATCCAGGGGCGATGCCTGGGCCCAAATTATGGGCCCAGAAGGGCCCCAGCTTCTGTGGAGCGCTGGTCAGTGGTGCCCGGGGCCTGCTGGGCCATGGCCTCGGTTCCCGGAATGGCCCCTGCAGAACTTCCCCTGAGGCCGCCGACTTCCACAGCTGGGAGCCCGTGCAGTACCAGGCCTGTGCTGCCTTCAGCCCCGAGAGACTTGGACCCCGAGGCCCCTGATGGACAGCGGGGCACAGAGCGCGCAGTGCCAGACACCGGCAGGAGGCTGCGGCCCCAGGTCCTCTCCTGGGAAGGTGTGGGGTGCAGCCTGGCCCTGCCCGCGTGAGGCTGTGCAACCTCACGTGAATGACTTATTTCTCTCTCCGTGCCTCTTCCCCCATTGGGAAGATGCTAGCGGCTGTGCTTGTGTTTAGAACTCTGATTAGGACTACGTGACTCAATCAGTGTAAAATGTTATACCCGAAGCCATCATGGTGGCGCACACCTGAGACCCAGTACTCAGGAGGCTGAGGCAGGAGGGCCCCCATGAACTCACGTAGTGAGTTCAAGGCCAGCCTGACTGCATAGCAAGACAGTCAATCAACGTATGTTTATAGGAATGCCTGGTAGTAACTCCCAGAAAATGTGAATTTTTTTTTTCCTTTTTATCGGTACCAGGGATCAAACTCACCACCGCTTGCTTGCAAGGCAGGTGCTAAATCCCCAGCCCAGAAAATGAATTTTTGAATTATCCTTCTAGTTCTTCTAGAACATTCCATGAGCTTTCAGGATAGGATATCTCTGATTTAGAACAGGATGCGGCAGCAGCCCCAGTGGAAGATGGCGACACATTCTTGCAGATCTACTCCGAGGGTCAAATTTAAAAACAGAGTAGGGGCTGGGTGTGAAGCTCGGTGGCAGAGCATGTGCTTGGCATGAACAGGATCCCTCCTGGTTCAGTTTCCAGAGGGCTTTGATAAGTGCCAGAGTTCCCAGCTGGGTACAAACTTGCTATCCTCCTGACTCAGCCTCCCAGAGTGCTGGAATCACAGGTGTGCACCACTGCGCCCAGTTGTCAGGTGTTTCTGTGTGGCCAGGCCTCAGGGATCCAGGAAAGTGATGGCCCAATGTCCTGGGTCCCCTGTATGGGTCTCTAGACAGAACCCATGGACACTTTCTGTAAAACACACATTGTCAAAGCCCAGGCCAGCTGGGTTCAGGTCCCAGGCCCACACCTATAGCTGTGTGACCCTGGGGACCCCTTCAGCCTCAGTTTCCCACCTGGCACTGGAAGATGATCAAATCCTTGCTGCTCTGGCTCAGGGTGAGGATTAGGTGAATCCAGAGTCAAACCAGGTGACGATGGTTAGCTTTTCTTTTTTTAATCCTCTACTAAATTGGCCATTGTGGTAGCACTCTGGGAGGCTGAGGCAGAAGGACCACGAATTTAAACCCAGGCTGGGCAACTTAGTGATTTAGTGAGACCCTGTCTCAAACAAAAACAAAAACTCCTAAAAGGCCAGGACTAGCTCAGTGTGAAGACTTTGGATTGAATGCCCAATATTTAAAAAACAAACAA